ATAAATGAGATTTACAACAAAGATTATAGGAAGCACTCGGCAACTATTAGCAGCTGCTATTACATTATTATTATTATTATTATTATTATTATTATTATTTAGTAATGGTAAGATATAGGGTTAGTAGCTTATTCCACTAGCTTGAGATACAACAAAACTGGACTATGTATCAGGTTCTTTCCTTAAAGAGTAGAGATAAAGGGTAAGCAAGTTCATAGGGAAGGCCAAGATGAAAGAGACAACAGAGACTTTATAGGATAGAAAGATTCCTGCTCTTCAAGTTACAATGAAAATCAACTTTTAGAAGGAAAATGGAGCTCAGCATTAAGAAATATAGAGGAGGGGGATCCAAGATGGCTGCCAACGGGACGGAAGGCTGCAAGATAGTGTGTGAGTGAGAGACGGAAAGGAGAGTGTGGATGCTCGGGAAGTGTCTATATTTGTAAGCGAGGGGCAGCTATATTCCAAGGAATTGTTGGGGACTACCGACGGGGCTCCCCTGACCAGGCAGCCTCTAGTGCTGCTGAAATCTCTCCTGGAGCGGCCAGCTCTGCGGCAGAGACCATGCCATCTTGGAGGGGAGACTGTTGGTGATCTGAAGCCCAGCCTCACCTTCAACCGGGGAAACCTCAGATACATCCGGGACCCTACAGCCACACCAGCCAGGGAACAGCTGCCTCAGCTGCGAAACCAGGAAACCCAAAACTCCATCCTCTCTGACCACGGGCGCCTAGAAAGTCTGTACAGGAGGAGACAAAGCAGCGCGAATATGTGGATGAGCCCTGCGGCTTCTCTCAGAGCAGACAGAAGGAAGAGCTGAATCGATTATATCCACCAGAATTGGTGAATTAAATATAGCTGTTGAGGCAATGGGTGGACAGAAAGGTCAGATATCACGGAGGGAAAGGTGAGCGGTGGGATCCAGGCTGGAGGGAGAAACTTGTGCAAAACGCACCTAGCAGGAAATAGAGTTTCAGAGGAAGACTGTGCCCCACGAAATCCGCGGCTGTTGGGGTCAGCATACCCCTCAAATGTGGAAGGGGGTCCACGGGGCTACTGGAAGAAGGGGACTATAGAAATTATCCCACAGCAGGGCTGGGCCCAAAAAGGCAGCCTGAAGTTCTATCAGTATACTGGCTGCCAAGTGCCAGGGGAAAAAAGAGGCGAGTCTGCGTGCATCCTGTGGCTTTTTTTGTTTTTGTTTTTCTTTTTAAATCGTCGCTTTTGATTGCTAAGTCCAGTATATAGGATGATCCAATTAAAAAAACACAGACTGCAGGGGAAAGCTGTTTTTGTGGAACCTGGGTGGGGTTCAGAGTGGGGAGAGATGAGCAGAAAACCAGCTCTAGGGCAGTCTATATCCCCCAACACAGTAGTGAGTGCTGCAGGGGAAGAAATCTAACCACTGGGCAGGGGAGGGGACTTTTATCACCAGATATCAATACAGAAACACTGCCAACCAGGGGTTGTATCAGAAATTGACTCTTGTGTAAATACAACTAAAGGTAGGCTGAGAAACAAAGAAACCCTGATTGCCTGAAAACAGACTGCTTATGACACAGAGGAGCGGTGGAGCGCAGGGAACTTCAATACTGTGCTGTCTACCTGACAGGAAACAGACCTGCCAAGCAGAACAGTAGAGAATTGAATGACCTTCACTACTTCACACTTTCACTTTTTATCTTTTACTTGAGAAAATAAATTTTTCTTTTTCTCACTGATTTTACCTTTTACATTATATTTTTATTTTTAATTATTATTATTACTACTAGTATTTTACCTTTTTGAGTTTTATTTTTTCTTTATCTTATTTTGGGATTAATGTTCTACATTCTATTCTTATTTTTCCTTTAGTATTACTTTACTCTATCTCAATTTTTCCTTTATGTTAACACTCTCTTCCTCACTTCCCCCTTTTGTCCTGTTTCTCTTACCTTGTTCCTGCTTTAGTTTTTCTCTATCCTCTCTCTATACTCCCTGTTAAAACTTGATCTTACTCATATATCTAATTTCTGCTCCAAGTCCATACATACTTTTGTCTTCTCTTTCTTCACTATCCAAATTTTATTTCTCTTCCTTTTTTTTTCTTTTGCCTTTTTCTTTTTATCTGTCTTGGTGTTAATTGTTGATTAATTTGAATTTGATTGCTTGTTTTTTTCTCTTTTTCCTTTTTTTTTAAACTTCTGTTTTTCCTCACCTCAATGATTCTCCTCTTCTACTAATAGCTTAACAAATTCCAATGACAAACTCAGGCCTATCTCCTCTCTAGTCTCCTTTTCCAATAGTAAACGAATACATAAATAGAATAAAGAAAGGGAAAAGTATATATATATATATATATATATATACACACACACACACATATATATATATACACACACACATACATATATATATATATTATGTATAAAAAGTTTTGTTTACATCAAGTGGAATTGGCAATCCATGCTTATACTTTTAAAATCTAAGCAGCTTTAATATACATTTTTTTTCTTTTTTTGTATTTAGTTTTCTACTTTTTTTTCTTATACACTCATTCTCTATCTACCTCCTCTATACTGAATTGTGGCTATTTCCCCATTCATTAAATTCCTTGACCTTATCTTCTGGAAATAAGCTCTGCTTCCACAGATTCATCTGGGTGTTTATTGTTTAAAGATTTATAGTTTACATATTTTGGATTAGTTGTAGATAGTTTGCATTCATCTCTGTGTGTTTGTTGTTTGCGTTTTTTTGGATTAGTTGTTTTATTGGAGTTTTCTCCCCATAGGCATATATTTTTCCCCCGTTCTTTTTTCTTCTCTTTCTTTTCTCTCTTAAATTTTTTCCTTTCTTCAGTATCATTTCTGCACTCTTTTCTATCCCCTCACACTCTTATCTCTGGTGGACACCTTTATTTGGATTTATTAGTATCGTGAATACATTTGTCTTTGGTGGCCTCTGCTTTGTGTCTTGTTGTGTTGTAGTTTTTGCATTTAATTCAATGCAGGACAGAGAGAACTACATAACCAGACATCCAGAGAGGAGCTATCATTGGGAGACAAAGAAACAGCCCACATACGAAAGAAAAGGAAGAATCACCAGAAAAGGAAGTACCTGAAATGGAGGCAAGCAATATGTCAAAAAGAATTCAGAGCAATGGTCATAAGGTCGCTGAAAAGGATGGATGACAAATTTCACATGTGTAAGAACCAAGAGGAAATGAAGAACCAAGAAGAAATGAAAAATGATATCGCTGCAATAAAGAACTCAATAGAAAGCATCAACAGTAGACTAGAGAAGCTGTGGGCCACATCAGTGAGCTAGAAGACAAGGTTGGAAAAAATACACAAGCAGAGTAGCATCTAGGACAGTGATGGCAAACCTTTTGAGCTCGGTGTGTCGGCATTTTGAAAACCCTAACTTAACTCTAGTGCCGTGTCACATATAGAAATTTTTTGATATTTGCAATCATAGTAAAACAAAGATTTATATTTTTGATATTTATTTTATATATTTCAATGCCATTTAACAAAGAAAAATCAACCAAAAAAATGAGTTCGCGTGTCATAGGTTTGCCATCAATGATCTAGGAAAATACTTAAAAAACAGGAGGAGAGCCTAAAGGAACTTTGAGACAATACGAAATGAAACAACATTTGCATGATATGGGTCCCAGAAGGAGAGAAAACTGAGCAAGGGGTAGAACACCTGTTTGAAGAAATAATGACAGAAAACTTCCCTGATATAGGGAAGAAAAAACTCACACAACTAAGAAGCTCACAGAGTCCCAAACAAGAAGAACCCCCAAACACCAACACAAGACACATTATAATTAAAGTGGCAAACACCAACAACAAAGAAGCTTAAAGGATGCCAGAGAGAGACAGAAAGTTACCTACTAAGGATCCCCCTTCAGACTAGAGACTGATTTCTCAACAGAAACACATCAGGCCAGAAGGGAATAATAGAATGAAATATACAAAAGTCATGCAAAGGAAGGGACTGAATCCAAGAATACTGTACCCAGCAAGGCTATTAATCAAAATTGAGGGTGAAATCAGTACCTTCACAGACAAAATAGGACTAAGGGAGTTTATTACCACCAAACCAGCAATGCAAGAAATGCTAAAGGGTCTTCTTTAAAAAGAAGAAATAGGAAGGGAAGAAGGAACACAGACATAAAGAATAAAAATGGCGACAAATACCTATCATTAATAATTTTGGGGGGACAGAAGATGGCGGCGATATAGGCAGACGC